TGATCGTTTTTTTAGCCAATAATTTAGGGGCAAAATTTCCGATCTGAACAATCCGATCTAGAACTGAACAGGGCTATATTCGCATCCACAGGGATGAATTTGCAAGAGTTGCGATAAAAAAATTTCTAAAGTATACCTTCTGTTTTATAAACTGTTAAAGTAATTTGGTAAAAAGTAAGGTAATTCGGAACTTAGCCAATAAGGGTTCCTTTTCAATATATTATTTTATATATATATAGAGAGAGAGAGAAAAGGAGATTGAGATTTGGAATTATACTTTATATATTGGTATATATTTTTAACACTTATTTATTGCACAGAAAGAAGATAAATAATATGTTTTTAAGGCTATTTGTATTTTAAAACGTTATATAATTTGATTTTAACTAATATATTTATAAATAACTTAAATATTTTCTTATCTTACTAATACTGTATATAAATAAAAGAGAAGGTTGGATTATTTCTGATAAATAATATACAAATTCTTTTATGTTTTAACTTTATTATATAAATTGATTAAATTTTTGAACTAAATACTAATAATGAATTGTAATTTAGATAAGTATTTTTACATTAATATAATTTTTTTTATTAAAACGAATAGTCACATGATTTGTTATTAGCCAATCAAATTAGTGTATAATTAGCCAATCACAGAAAAAGCCCGCTATGCTAAACCACTCTAACCTAACATTATCCCAACCCTAACTTTAACAAATGTAAAACTCTAAAAATCTAATGTGATATTCTATCTTATATAAAAAAATTAAAAATTAACAACCGATTAATATATATAAAATAATTACAAAATATCATCTGTAATTTTAAAGTTAAATAATAAAATTTAATTCATAAAGTACACTTTATTATTTTAATTTAACAAATCATAATTTGGATATAAGTGTAAATATACAATTATGCATTTAAAAAAGAAACAAATGAAATAAAATAGGCGTTTAATTAATTTGCGTAACTGAATCAAAACAAATGAGAAGAAAAAATTGATCTAATTAACTTGTCATTTAATAATAAAAAAGTATAATTTTTCATCTATTAGTCAATTGACGAGACATCTCATGGTAAAAAATCGATCATATAATATGATCAAGAAAATGAGCCAATATGAAATGAAAAACGATGGTAACCAAATCAGAAAAATGGGAACAATTAAATGTACAGGAAATATTATTTCGGAGATGTCGTACTTTCTTGTAAAATAACGATGAAATCATAATATTATTTTTCAACCTTTTGGATTTCTTTGCGAGAACAAAAATAACCCTTGATTTTGATTAGCATTGGAACCTATAAAAATGCGAATGTCTTGTGGAATATTCATATTTAATTTTAGCTGTTTATTAATTATTGACTTCGGTTACTATTTTGAATATTTCCATGTCTCTTTTTATTTTAATTATGTCTTTAAAGGATTATTTTATTGAGCTAAATATTGTATTCTACTTTTACTATACCTTGATCTTTTTCTTTTAATTATTCACCTCGATTAATTGTAAGTTCATCCTTTAGAAAGTATTGAGGCATTACATATTCATATTTTTGCCTCTAGCCTTCCATATACTGTAAGATTGGATCTGATTTATTATTTACAACAAATTTCATGGAGATTGTGATGCACTTTTAATAGCTGAAAATAATGTGTGTATTTACACAATTTAAGTTATGTACTTTCAGTAAGTTTATTGTATAATTTAAAAAGAATATTTTTATCCTTTCAAAACTATATCTATTTAATCAAACTCGTTCACGTTCGACAAATTCCATTCTTAGAAACTTTATGGTTGTTTACCACATAAGAAAAAGTCCTGGGCTTAACTCATAACCTATTTAATTATATTCGCATGATCCATTCATTATGTTTACAATATTTTTTTTTGTATGATACTTTAAGCTTTGTCTAAATTGATATAGAAGTTCAAATGTTGAACATTTGGAATTTTGTGCTTTTATCCCTCAAAAAAAAAAAAAAATGGAGTTTACGAATACCTCAGTTCAGCTTTAGCAATGATAAATTAAACACCTATTTTCAATGTAGACAATAATTTAATATTCATTATTAAGAGCGAAACAACAAATGTAAAAGGAATGATTACAGGTAATTTATTTATTAAACCAAATAAAAATTTATCAACAGATAATTTAATATTTTGGCAAATGGTTATAATCCAAAAAATGTAAAATTTTGAAATTCATGAGTGAGTATTTTAAATATTAAAAGATAATTTTTAAAAAAAAGGTTAAACGAAGCAAAATTATAAAAAAATTACCTAAAAAAGAAATTTATCAAAAAAAAAAATAAATAAATTCTGGATAAAGACCGGCTACGAAAAAAAGGACAGTCTCTCACTATTTCTTTTTTTGACTCTCATTCAAAAATGAGTTATAATTAAATGAAAAAAAATAAAATAAAAACGAATTCTAAACCGAAATAATTGCTGCGCCTGAGCCAGAAACAAAATCTCGAGCTAACCATATTTAGTTTAGGAAAATACTTTAATGAAAATAACCAGATATTCAACAAAGTCGAAAATAAAATAACCTTCTATATATAAAGGTTAAGCAACATACAATTTGTGATAAAAATTAGTCTTTTCATTTTGTAGTTCATTCAGTGGAAAAAATTATTTACGACCTTCAGGCTTGGAGAATTTTTTTTTTCCTGGAACAAACGCGAGAATTGTTGGAATGCTTGGATTAGAAACTTAATATCAAAGCATCATTGTAACTTTTATCCATATATTTATTAATTCTATAATGAGAGTACAACAAAAATGCAGATGATGCTCACATCGAACTCCTCGACTATTTCTTCAACATTATATTTTGAAAGTAGAAAGGAGGAGTTTTTTATGATAACAATAAAATAAAACACTGAAATTTCTGATATAGCGAAAAACTATTTCCTTTATTAATCACTACCTGTTTATTAACTTTGCAATAAAATTCAAAGAGAATCGACGTATTGAAAGTGAAATGCTATATGAGCAGCATTTTCACCAAAATCTTCCTTACCCATTATGACCTTTCCTCCACCTCCAGACATTCCTGATAGTCTAAATTCATTATATTTTCCAAATGGACCAATTTGTACAGTTCTAGTAGTTTTTTCTTTAGCAATATCTCCTAAAATTCCCGTGGTTTTACCATCATTAAAAATAAATTCTATAGCAGCAAGTAATCCATGATGAAATTTTATATATATAGCAATAATATATTTTGAAAAGTTATCCAGATCTGAAATTATAGTTTCCGTTCCACCTGTTCCTGTTCCAATGCTTTTTCCAGCTCTATAATTTTCATTATTGGGTTGATCATTTTCATTAGAATAATAAGCCTGAACGCGATCAATTATACCATAATGTCTCACTACAATTTTTGTGATAATGCCAGGATCATCATCAGATATATTGTAAAATAATTTAGAATTATCTTCTAAATTATGTGAACCATCAGGAAACGTATCAATTCCGTATGGCCCAACCCAAAAACTTCTTACATTAAGAGGCCAAGATATTACACGCAAAGTTTCATAATCAGAAAAGGATTTGACTAATGAAAAAATATGTAAAAACATTTTCATAAGCTCTACTTTGGTCTCATTAAGCATTCTTAACTTGATAAGATCAAAAACTTTTAAAAATATTTGGTCATTTGAAGATTTTGCAACATAATTAACTTGTTTATTGCTAATTGTATCTCTGACTTCACCATTAGCACGAAAAGTGAAGAGCGATGATGAAGATGAATCATTGGTAATCAAGGTTTTTGTTGTTATCTGATCCATCCTCCACGTAAAGAATTGATGAAAAGAATCCGAAAAATGGCTTTGATAACGAGAAATAATTTCCTTCACCTCATCAACGCTTGACTTTTAAACAAAAACATAGTAATTTTAATAAAGACTGAAATAAAATTTTTGAAATAGGAAATTTATAATCACCGTTTTTAACTTTAATGATTCTCTCAAAATGGTAAGATGTACGATCGCAAAAGTGATGGTGAAAGGGATGATGTGAAAGATTTTTTCACTCTTCAAAAGATTTTCGAAAAATAAATTACATTTTTCGACAAGGTTTGTTATGAGAATGGCTGGTTCACCTTTTTGATTGATTAAATATTTTAAAAGCAATTCTTTAATATGTTGAAAATTTCTTATTTGTTCATCAATTTCTGTATTAATGATTTCTTGACTAATAAGATGTTTCGTTCGAACTTTAATTTGTGTGAAAATATCATCTTGTTCTGTAATCTTTTCTTCGTCATTTTTTAAAAAAAATAAAATGACTAGGGTAGATAATAAAGACATTTTTAAGAATATCTTTGTTGTTGAAACGGATTTGTTATGAAGAACGGACATAAAATCATCTATTCGTTCATCCCAAGAATAATCGTTATTCATTATTTTTATAAAGTAATTGTTTTATAAAATTTATTTAAATAAAGCGTAAAATCTTGAGAGATATTTTATTTGTATTACTTTAAGAATCAAAAAAAAAAGCCAATCATTAATACAAAATTTTTTTTTTCCCCATTGTGTAAGCGATGATCTCCCTAAATTGATTCTTTCGCATTTTCCTACTAAAATTAACAAATGCAATACTTTGAAGACAAAGCTACTTTACACCATTGTTCGTCTTTCAAGAATCTCTTTACAAGTTCTTATTATTACAGTAATTCAGACTTCGAAACTTGTTAGGTTACTTCATTTTTATACGATAAATCGAAATTCACCTCATCGACTTTCATAGTTCAAAACTGCTTAGGCGTTTGAATTATAATAAAATTTTCGTTGACACGAGAATTCCATTCTTAAATTCATTATACTAATTCTTTGATATAAAAATTTGATTAAAGTTAGTTAAAAGATAAAGCTATTAAATAAAATTATTTTTGTATTAATATACTCTTATGTTTGAATATGCTTAAATAAAATATGCAACTACAATCCGAGTATAAATTTTATTTAATTAAAAATTCATATTGAAGTCTACCATTTTTACATTTTTTATTTTTTTTTTATACTATTAAAATATGATTTTATTAATTTTAACTAGTGCTGTATATAGTTTAAATTTTGATTATTTGAGTTATTTAAATTTAAAGTAGCAGTACAATTATTTAAGCTTTTCTGATTTAAGAAAATAATTACTTGTATTAATATCAATTTTATTTATTTTGAATTAAGAGTTTTATATTACATTTTAAATCTAATTATAAAATTTTTTTTAAGTAATTTATGTGTAAAAAGAAATGGATTTTTATCATATTTGAATTTATTTAGCCAAGTTTATTTATCAAAGTAATGAATATTTAAAAATTAATTATTATTCAATAAGTTGTTTGTAATTTCACATATATTGATAGTAATAAATAATGATAATTTTGAAATTATGACCAATTTTTATTTATTTTTATAAAAATTTAATGATTAATTATTTGACCATTTTTTCAATAATATCTTTAAATATTTTTCATAAATTTGATAGAAATTTAAATTAAAATTTTTTCACTCTAACTGAATAATTGATAATTCAACTGATTTTTTTGTACTATTTATTGATTTATCTTTTTTATATCTTTTTTTTTTTTTTAATTATAACCTATAAATTTCTATAGAGTTAATATCAAACTTTTTTTTTTGAAGAATAATTGTTAATTTTGCCTTGTATTTAAGATTATTATCCTATTAGAATATTCAGAATCTTTATAATACTAATAAAAGATTTTTAGTTAAAATATCCTAATAAAATTCTCTATTTATATTTTTAGTAAAATAATGAAATTTCACAATTTCACATATTCAAAAGTTCCCTATACATAACTTTAAATAAATATTTTATAACTGCATAATATAATTTTTTTCTTTAATTTTATCTCTTATTAGCATTATATTATAAAATAATTAAAAATAATTTTATTAAAAGAATGATTTTTTCACATTTTTTATTCAAATAAGATTTTAATAATTCAACTCAATATTTTTTAATTATAATAATTAAAATATAATAAACTAAATTAAAAAGATTTTTATTAAAATAAATAAATTTTCATTCTTTATTAAAAGAAACAATGATTTTGAAACATTTTGTTAAGGGTGAACAGAATGATATTAAAATAAAAATAATGATAATGATTTTATTTATTAATTTGAGTTGCAATACAAGTAAAAAAAGATTAAATTTATTGAAGATAAAAATTTAAATATTTTTATTAAATAAATAAAGTTAAATAATACAATTTAAAAAAAAAGTAAAAAAAAAATTTATTATATAATTAAATTAGTCTTTATATTTTTTTATTTAATTTATATTTGTAGTATATTTAATTATATATATAACATAATATTTTTCTATATTTACTATTATTATTATTTAATTTATTATTATACAAAAATTTTTTTTCAAATTAACTTTGTTTATATTAAATTTTTAAAACAAATAATATTATTTTAATAAATTATTATAAATAAAAATGAACTAAACTATTTTTAGAGTTCTAAATGAGTCAAGTCGAGTCAAGTTTAAAAACCAACTCTATTCAACTCATTTTTCAAATCGAGTCGAGTCAAATTTATTTTATAAAATCTTTCAATTTGATTTGATTCGAGTTATATAAATTTTAAACTCGACTCAATTTGACTTGACTCAATTTTAACTTGATTCAACTTTGAAAAAAAATAATAAAAAAAACAAAAAGATCAGGAGGAAAGAAAAAAGAGCGAACAATTCATTATCATTCAAGTCGAACAATTCAGGTCATCGTTTAAGTTAAACGATTTAGGTTATCATTCAAGTTAAATGATTCAAGTCATCATTTAAGTTAAACGATTTGAGTCATCATTCAAGTTGAACAATTCATCATCATTCTTCTTTAATGATAAAAAAATATTGTTCAAGTTGAACAATTTGTCATCATTTTTCTTGAACAATAAAAAAAATCATTCAAGTCGAATGATTTGTCATTGTTCTTCTTGAACAATAAAAAAATATTGTTCAGGTCGAACGATTCATTATCGTTCTTCTTGAACGATAAAAAAATCATTCAAGTTGAATGATTTGTCATCATTCTTCTTAAACGATAAAAAAATATCATTCAAGTCAAACAATTCGTCATCATTCTTCTTGAACGATAAAAAAATATCGTTCAAGTTGAATGATAAAAAAAATCGTTCAAGTTGAACGATTCAGTCATTGTTCTTCTTGAACAATAAAAAAATATCATTTAAGTCGAACGATTCATCATCATTCTTCTTGAACGATAAAAAAAATCATTTAAGTTGAACGATTTATCATCATTCTTTTTGAACGATAAAAAAATATTATTCAAGTTAACTTAAGTCAACTCAAATCAAGTCGAGTTTAAATCAAGTTAAGTTAAATATTTAACTCGACTTGAATTTGACTTGAATCATAAATCATTGAGTCAAAAAATCATAAACTCAACTCGATTTAAACTTAACTCAGCTTATCTGACTCGTAAGTTAACTCGACTTGTCTAGAACTCTAATTATAATTAATATTATTAAAAGTAAATGTTAATAAGTTGGTCAAAGGTCAATGATAAAATTTTTTAATTTATAATTTTTTAAAAAATTACAAATTTTTAGCTTATAAGTAACCTTAAATTATTTATTATATAATTAAAAAATAAAATTTATTATAATA